GTATTTTGGGGGTTTGATCGTATTTTTCCACCGAATTGGCTGTAATTTAGTATTTCGAGTTCTTAATAGGTACCAAATCTCTCCACAAAAAATTATAATATAGGTCAATTTTTTCGGATATCCCCCATATGCGGGTATCGCAATTTTCGGTATTTTGGGGTGCTTGAGCGCGTTGTTCAACCGAATTTTCTGCAACTTTGTATTTTGTAGTCGTATATGGTAACAAATCTCCCTACCAAAAAAATATTAATATTCGCCCCCTTTTTGGGGTAGTCCCCATATAACCCCCTTTTTATATTAAAATAGTTATCTGATTATTTGCGCGTTTTGAGTTTGGTTCTATAACTCTTTTGTAATCATTTCACCTGCGGAGGATAGAGAAATAAAAAATTAGAACGTAAAGTTCGATAATGAACTATGGCCACATTTAGACCTAGCCCCTGATTGAATTCCAGAAGGAGTGGTACCTGTCAATATAACTATGGTGGAGGGTATCCAAAGTTCGGCCCGGCCGAACTCACCGCTTTTTCACTTGTTGTTTGTTTAAAGGATGTACCAAAGAGCCTATGTTTGTTTATGTCAGAAATGTCCGATTTTATGTAAATGGTGTACCAAACACCCATTATTTATCCGATTGAGACGAAATTTAGCATTTAGCGTTTGAATTGAATCTAAATTGTATATATCTTAAGTGATGAAGGGTATCACATAGTCCATCCCTTTTCGACTTTACAATTTCCCCGACTGGTTACATTGTAATTTCCCAAAAATTCCCATACCAATTATCCTACAGGAAATGCGTTATCTATTGCCTTTGTCTAATAGTCGCAGCATACACTGTGTATATGCATATGTGGTTGTTGTACACGTTTTGTTTCGCCATTCTGTGCAAGATTGCCAGTGGCATCAGTTATGATGCTATTCCTGACTTTTTGGCTTTCTAAAGGGGCACTGCAACCATAGCCACCAAACACCACAGTAATGCTGTACCAGTATTCTATTCTTGTTTTGTTCCTCGTGCGTTTTTTGTTGTATCGCTCGGTGTTGGTTGTAGTTGTTGCTGTTGGTGCGTTACTGCTGCATTGCATATTGTCGCTGACAAGTATGAATTACATCCACACTACAGATTAATTGCTGCTAATTAACAGAATTTTGTTGAAATTGCAACGACAAGGCGAACAAAAAACAAGACATAAACACAACAACAACAGCAATGACAAAAATGCGTACGCTGTGGCATCCTTGCCGCATTCATTGTGGATCCATGATAGTTATGGCATTGTTTATTCCCCCAGCTGCTGGTTGAGTTTTTTTTTTCGCTTAGTGGAGTTTCAGTGCTATGCTGGATATGTGCACAAAAAAAAAACAGGAACAACAGCACCAGCAGCCGCACCAACAGCTTCTGTTTGCGTTGTAGTTAAGTATGAATGACTTGTAATTGTCACCAGGACCATGACAAAGGAGAGTAGTAATTTTGTTCTATGTGTGTGTTTTTCAACTTCTGTTCCTCTTTTTTGTCCCCTCATTTTTAGTTATGCGTAGCAGCATTACATTTCTAATACTTCGTTTTTTTATTGCTATATACGAGTATATTTTTTCATTATTTATTTTGTCCTCGTAGATTGTTTGCAACAAATTACAGAGCAAACATATGTGGTAGGGTTGACCTCACATCGTTACTGATGCTGGAAGCAACATCAGTTTATTTTCCGCATTGAATGAACGAGGGAAATGAAATGAAATGATGTATGAAGTAACAATGTTAAAGATAAATAAAATATATAATAAATTTAAACGATAATAGTACGTGCGATATTAACTGGCGTTTTTCAAATCGTAGTTGTTATTGTTGGCCCATTTTCAATTTAAGTTTTTAAATTGTATGTTCGTTAATCAAATATATGTATGTTTTAACAGTATTGTCAATTTTTAATATTGTGATAGAATATCCACCAAATTTCAAAATTTCCATAAAAGTTAATTTGCATGAAAACCGTCTAGTGGACTCTTAAATTATCTAAAATTGCAGCCCGTAGAAAACAAAATTCCAACTTACAGACACACGGGTTAGAAAATCGGGCTAGGACCTAAAAAATACCGTACAAATTTAACAATTAAATACATGTCGAAATTCTTTAAATTCCGAAAATTAGGTTACCGTTATACGGGATCTATGTGAAAAGGTGGACTGATATTGGGTTATACAACTTCCACAATACTACTAAAATATAGAAAAATACCCCTGAATCTAGAAATTAACAATTAAGGGAAGTAGTAAATTCGGACTGGGTTAACTATATGGCACCCTTCACACCTTCATTGGATATATCGCCTTTTCAGAGAAACCTTGACATACCATTGAACGAACTTAAATATGTTATGTATATCTATTAGTGAACCGAGTGAACATCACGCTATTCGATATACGGCACTATTCAAAATTTAATCTCAATCAGACACCCATTCGAAATAAATATGAAAGCTATGCATCTATACCAATTTCACGCAATAACGTCATTGTAGTCTCAACTTGATACGTTGTGCAAAATTTTATGTCAATCGGAGAAATATTAGGAGTTTGGCGCACCACATACATAAAATCGGACGAAAATATATATGGAAGCTATATCTGAATCTGAGCCGATTTTAACAAAACTTACCACAGATCAATGTATATTTACTTCAGTACATTAAACAAAATTGTGTACCAATTGGTCACACTTTGGGTCTTTAGTGCACAGTTTACATAAAATCGGAAGAAAATATATATATCTAAGCTATGCTATATTTAAATCGGAATTTTCACGAAACATAATATACACACACACACACAATACTATAGACTTAATTCAGTACGTTATTCAAAATTCCGTGCAAATCAAATGACTTTTTCGCACATTTACCATAAATCGGACGGAAATATATATGGGATCTATATCTAAATCTGAATCGATTTTCAGTACGCTATGAGAAGTTTCGTGCAAATCGAAAAATATACGGGGTCTTTGGTACACGATTTATATTCAATCGGCCGAAAATATATATGGGAGCTATATCTTAATCTCCACCAATTTTCACGAAACTTAACACATATCATTCCAGACTCCATTCAGTACGCTATTTAAAATTTCGTGCATATCAAATGACTTTTTTGAACCATTTACATTAAATCGGACGAACATTTATATGGGAGCTATGTCTACATCTGAACCGATTTTCACCAAACTTAGCACACATCATTTCAGAGTCAATTCAGTACGCTATGCCAATTTTGGTGTACATCGAAGGATATATATCACTCTAGACTTAAATTAGTACCCTATGTAAAATTTCTTGCAAATCGAAGGATATATAGGTACTTTGGTACACAATTTACATTAAATCGGACGAAAATATATATGGGAGCTATATCTAAATCTGGACCGATTATCAGGAAACTTAACATACATAATTCTGGACCTAATTCAGTACGCTGTGCCAAATCGGACGAAAATATATATGGGAGCTATATCTAAAGCTGGTCCGATTTTCAGAAAACTTAACACACTTCATTCTAGACCTAATTCACTACGCTATGCCAAATGTCGTGAAAATCGAAACATACGTAGGGGCTTTGTTACACCATTTACGCTAGCTATTTCGGAACTATTTCTAAATCTGAACCGATTTTCAGGAATCTTAGCACACATCATTCCAGGCCTAATTCAGTACGCTGTGCCAAATTTCGTGCAAATTGAAACATATATAGGTACTTTGGTGCACCAATTACCTTAAATCGGACGAAAATATATATGGGAGCTATATCTAAATCTGAACCGATTTTTCCCAATTTCAAAAGAGTTCGTCCTTGGGCCAAATAAGTGAGCTGTGCCAAATTTCATCCAATTCGAATAAAAAAATGCGACCTGTACTTTGTTTACAATTTAACATAGACAAACAGACGGACAGACGGACGGACAGACATGCATAAACCGACTTAAAAAGTGTTTTTATGCTTATTTCCAAAAAGGACCATGTGTCTATGTCGTTTCCTTTTGCTTGTTACAAACATATGCACAAAGACATAATACCCTGTACCACAGAGTGGTGAAGGGTATACAAATTATATATTCTCCATTATGAAAGCCTTGGCTATCCATTATGAAAGCCTTGGCTATATAACTATAAGTAGCTTTTGAAATTTCTTTTTCTAAACAAAAATAAAAAATAATTTAATTCTACAATAATTAAAAAGCACAAAAAGCACAAAAAATCAATGGAAGGGACCACTCAATTCTTACGTATTATTATCGATGGTTTTTAGCAGGATTATAAAATATAAAAATAATTTAAATAAAAATAATTTAATTCTACAACAATTCTTAAACACAAAAATGTCTATGTATAGTATATAATAAATATTCGATCGTGAGTTATATGAATTGAAGTCTCTTGTGGTAACGTATGAAGGTGTTTTTCCATTTTAGCAAGGACTCATATGGACCTCCATTTCACCAAAATGGAAAGCTTCAAGAGCGGATATTATGCTGTAATGCACGACCATCCGGCTGGTAACCTCTAAATTGTTTGTAATTTGATTAATTAAAGAAGAATTTAACAATTTTGCTAACCGCTAACAAACAGTTCAATAATCTCTCGATATTCCCTACACAAATCCAATTAGAGTATTCATTAATAAAACATCATTCAATTTGAAGAGCTACATAAATTATCCATTCATAGCACTCTTCATTAATTTGCCATTTATAATCTTTCAATTACAGCGAATCGACCCATTTCGTGGCGTAAGAGAAAGACCATTAGCAGCATCAGCAGCAGCAACAGAATCTCCGTCACATTAACTTGGTTGGTTGATTGGTTTGATTTGTTGTAAATGCCAATCAAACTTAACCAAAATTGGTTAAATTCAACATCCTGTCATCGTTGAGTTAACGGGACAGGCAAAACGTCAGCAACGTTTTGACGTTGCCATTAACGGATAACACAGCCCTTCCAACAATAAAAATGTACCATGGAGGCTTGTTTAGGTTTAGGCAGAAATCAACGTTCAAACAAATCACAAAAAGATTTGAAATTACAACAACAGCAGCAACAACAAAAGGAGCAATCAGCGACAGGACTTCATCATCCTCATCAATTTCATCATCAACATCATGGCCAGAAATTGCAACAGCCGGTAACAAATCAGAATTATTATACGACACAACAGCAGCAACAACAACCGCATCAACAGAGACAACATTTAATTACAAGGAATCAGCAGCAACAACAACAACACCAACAGCAATTCACGGGTTCCACAAATGTGGGAAGTGGAGGAGGCGGTGGGAGTATAGCCACTGGCGGAGATGTGAAACAAAAGCCGCCACAAACACCACACCATCAGCAACAGCAACATCACTTCGAACCGCAGCAGCAGCTTCAACATGGTCAAAATGTAAGGCAAATCATTTCAAAGGCAACAACCGTTGCAGCAACACCATCCGCGCCAACAACAGTTAGAACAATGCCAAAATACAAAAACGCTCCCTCGTCCCCGCCATTTGAAGATTCGGTCCCACCACCACCCGCCAATACAATACAAGTTGATGTCACAACCACCCATCCATCGAGCACGAGTCCCACCTCAAATGTCAGTTCAGCGGCGACAAATAAAAGTTGTCGAAAAATTAGTGGCAGGCATGTCCAACAACAGTCACATCAGCACCACCACCATCATCAGGTACAGCAGCAACACCTTCATCAGCAACAATATCAGTCAACGATGCCCGCAGATTTAGATGCCATAGAAATTTGTGCGGAACCGGAGCCAACGCTGGCCATCTCCTTTAAAGCCGGTGGAGGAGGTGCTGGCATGGTACGGCACACCAAAACTTTGGGAAGACTCAATCAGACACATAGTATGGAAGAACAGTGGTCGAATATACCGCAGACAACATCGATGCAATTGCTGCAACTTCAGCAGCATCAACAGCAGCAACAACAACAGCAACATCATGATTATTCATATGCATATTATGAGCCAGGAGCCGCCATGCGTCACACAAACATACCCAACTCCCAGGCCATACCGGACGACGAGGATTTGACGCCAGCTCCCCCCAACTCCATTCGGGCCTTGCTGTCCAAAGGAAAGAAAAATAAAATATTGGTATCACCCGCCACAAGGCAATCGTATCAGGTCCGTCTGACTCAGCAACACCAAAAGCAATTTGCCAATCAGGCTGCAGCAGGGGCGACAGCAGCAGCAACACCTTCTGCCGCAATCGCGGGGGCTGCAACAGGTGCCAGCAATATTTCCACACCCGAAAACTTCTATGAGGAAATCTCCGCCTCGTCGACCTCATCCTCCTCCAATTCGATGACTAGCCATCGCCAATTACGTTCCACTTCCCATTCGGCAGGTTCGCTGACACAACAGCTGGTTGAAGAGGAATTAAGAAGAGTACAAAATAGACATCATAAGATATTAGGCGAGTTGAATTTATCGGTTGAGGCCATGCTAATGCCCGAAAGTCCACCCAATACCAGTCCCACCGGTAGCAATAGTAATTCCGTGGCCAACAGTGGGCCCAAGGAGCAACCAACAGCTCCCACAGTCAGTGTTACCTCGGCATCGGGCCAACCATTAAGGCTCACCTCATCATCGGCTGATAATATCTGTGATCCTGTTCTTGTAGCGGCAACAGCAACATCTGTGGCACCGCTCTCCAGCTCCGCAACAATAGCTGCAGGCCTCTTACAAACCGGATGCATGGCAGCCACAGACTTGGACAGTGGTTTTAGTGGCAGCAGTGGTGCCAGTTACATTGGTTCGCTGCGTCTACACAAAACCAATGCCTTGATGAATTCACGCACTGCCCAACAATCTGCAACGACGTCTGGCCCCGCGGCAGTCACACAAAAATCCCAACAACAACAAAGTGCCTTTGCCTATGCCACACAAAGTTGTCGCTCCTTTCAGAGGGCGAATACATGCATCGACACCAATGCTTCGTCGCGTTCACACTCTTCGGCTATAAAGCATTTGCCTCAGGTGCATTTGGCCGGTAAACACACACTGTCACACCAACATGGCTATCTGGCCGATTCGACGGTCATGGGAAACGATGATGACGAAGACGTTGCCCTGAATGCATCGGGGTTTTTTACGCGTGCTGCCTGTGGTCGACGTATTTTAAATTGTGCCAAAATAAGAGCGGCCGAAGATCCCGGCCCAGTGGTTGTAGTTGAATCGAAAGCTCGTAGTTTTTGGAATCGCAAAGGATGGCGCAAATTTCCTGGTTTCTCAACATCGACGTCCAGCATAAATGATACGGGTTTAACAACAGGTAAGTGATTTCATTGTTGTATTTATAAATTATGTGTTTTTGGTTGTTTTTCGTTATTCTTCGAAAGTGCCTTTTTTCCATGGAGGTTATCGTGACGATATTTTTGGGATTCTCCTCCATCTCCTTTGTTGCCGTGTTTTTTTCTCTGTTTTGGCTTGCCAAAAAACCTAATTGTTTTTTAAGTATGAACACATAAATAATTTATGATCTCTGGTTATTTAATGCTGTGGCATAACACGGCGAAAGCTTTCCTTCCATGGGTAGGTTTCATAAATCATGAAAATGCTTTTAATTCCATTAACCCAATTTTTTTAAAAAGATACACAATTGGTATACGAAAATAAAATTTTGTAATTGAATCTGTGTGATGACAATGGACAAAAGGGAACAAATTTAAAAAAATAATCTCTACCAGCAGAATGACTAATTTTTTTCTATGGAAGCAAAAATTCTCATGACTGACTGATTTCATGATGACTGATGACTGATTTTTTTGTTGCTATAGAAAATATTTCCCAGTTCCTAACATCTAACAATTTCCTATTTAAAATTATTTCTCAATTCCAGAGGACAGATTTTTTTCATATAGCTCTTCAGGATAGATTGTTTCTTAATCAGAACAGATTTTTTCAACTGAAAAATCGGTCTTTGGATTTTGAGAACAGATAGTTTTTTAAATGAAAAATGGTTCATGGGATTCTGAGTCCAGAGATTTTGATAGAAACAATCTTTTGCTGTAGAAAATAAATCCTCAGTTCCTGAAATGGATTCCGCAGATTTTTTTTTCAATAGAAAAAAATTGCACAGCTACAGAGGACATATTTGCTAACACATTGAAAAATCCTCAGAACATACTTTTAACCCCCTCATCACACTGTGGTACAGGGTATTATGTCTTTGTTCATAAGTTTTGTAACAGGCAAAAGGAAACGAGACAGACACCTGGTTCCTTTTGAAAATATATGCATAGAATAACTTTTTGAGTTGATCTGTCTATGTTTAGAGATGGACAGTGGGTAAGTGGTTATAAACTCATTAACTGCCGAACCACTTCATGTAGGCGGACTCAGATGGCTGCTATATCAATACAACCGCAGGCATGGGAAATGGGTCCATGTTTTGATATAGCCTCCATATAACCGTACCTTCCGATTTAATGTATTTTTTGTCTATTAGGCACATTTTACGATCAAATAGGCTGTAACTTGGCACAGAGGGTTATCTTTGGGTACCAAATGTCCATGCAAAAATTTATAGATGTAGGTCCACGTTTTCTGGTAGCCCCCATATAAAGGTACCCCTATTTTGAGTATTTATCCAAAAATTGAGTATAATCTCATTAACTGCCGAAACACTTGACACAGGCGGCCAAAAATTTGGCTCATATGGTTTTAATTTTAAAGTAAATATTGAAATGAAAAATCTGGTCTCTGGGTCCAATTTTTTATATAGGCCCCATATAACCGTACCGTACCCGTATAACCGTAATTTTATAAGTGAGTTTCCCTACCCCTTGGTTATGTATTGGATGAAATTTCACAGATCATTTTTTGGCCCAAATTGGGAAGCCCTTTGAAATTGGGAAAAATCGATTGATTTAGATATAGCTCCCATATTTCGATTTTCGTCCGATTTTATATAAATGATGCAGCAAACTTCCAATATTTGCCCGATTGAGCCAAACTCATGTATACGCAGTTTTGTGGAAATCTGTTCAGGTTTAGATATAACTCCCATATATAGTTTCGTCCGATCTTATGTATATGATACAGCAAACTCCCAATATTTGTCCGATTGAGAGAAAATTTTGTACAGCGTACTAAATTAGGTCCGATTTCATGTCTGTGAAGTTTTGTTGAATTCGGTTCAGATTTCGATATAGCTCTTATACGTAGTTTCGTCCTAGATATAGATAGACGTATGCGAAGTATTGTTGAAATCGGTATAAATTTAAATAAACCTCCCAAATATAGTTTCCTCCGACTTTATGTAAATGGTTCACCGAGGAGCCTACGTATGTTGCAAATACACGATATAACATTATGGACAGCGCACTGTACTGCAGCATAACAAATGGTATATGCCAATTAGGTCCAGATTTACATACGTACATAAATTTGCTCGGTTTCATACAAATGGTACACCAAATAATCCAAGTGTGCCCGATAGTCATGGGATTTTTCATAGATTTAAGAATGATATGTGTGTGGGTTTTTATACCCTACCCAACTATGTTGTCAGGGTATTATAGCTTTGTGCAGCCCCAAGAGTTTGTAACGCTGCGAAATATTGGTCCTAGACCCACCTTTAAGTATACCGATCGTCATATCTCGACTAGCTGAGTCGATCTAGACATGTGTGTCCGTCCGTCCGTCTGTCCATTATAATTTGTAAACACGATGCAGGCCACAGTTATGGATCAATCTTCACAAAAGTTTGCATGTAGGATGGGTTCTGGCCAATGAAGACCCCTATTGTTTTTAGAAAAAATCGGTTGATATTTAGGGAATGAAATGGACGAAAAACTTTATTTTTGTCGGTTTTTCTGGTCGCTCCAGAGGCCGCAATTATGGTCCAAACATCGCAAATTTTTGCATGGAGAAGGGGATCGGGCAAAAGAATAAGAATGTCTGTTACGATAAAGATCGGTCAATATTTAGCCGGTCAAATGGACCCTGACTTTTGTGTGAAAAATTACAAAATTGGTATTATATAGCGTATATTTACCCCTGAAGGACATAGACCGAGAAGTTGATAGTATATCCAACAGGAGTGGCTCGGATGTGGGAGTTATAGCTAAATATTTACAGGTAACTCCGTATTCGTATTACTTAGTAACCCATTACCACTCTAGAGAGCGGAACTATAGCGCTGATCGCTTTGAAATGTTCCATGAGGTTCCAGTTATGGTCAAGGACAACGCCTATAATTTTCGGTGACGATCGTATAATAATTTTGGAATGAAGTGGGCAGAAAACTTAATTTTTTGTGTTATTTTCGAGTCGATATATAGATCACAAATGAAAGCCGAACATCACAACACAACCCACGGTGAAGGGAAGGGTCTGCCCCGTCCGACTATACTGCTCCGCTCACTGGTTTTTAAATAAATTCTAATATCTATGTACATGTCACATTTAATTTCGCACGATTCCATTTCAATAGTCCTCCATTGATGTTATGTCTATTCTATTAAGAGATGCTCATTTGTAATATCCTTTAGTACATATGAACATCTGCTGTATGTACCCAAAGTGGTGAAGGGTATCATACAATTCCACAACTCACTAAAACTGGCATTTTACTATATAGAGAACAGATTTTTTTCATATAGAAAAATCCTTAGTATTAGAGAATAGATTTTTTCAAAAAGAAACAAATTTTGAGTTCCCGACGACATACGTTTTCCTGCAGAAAAAAATTACCTCTGTAAATATCAAATTATCGGTTATTACATTGAAAATCTGAGTTAGGAGCATTCAGCTAATAAAAATTAAATAGGTATTTGTGCTACTTAAGAACATGGACGTACGACTATATCGAAAAGTCACCCTCCATGAATTATTCTGTAAATATGATTTTTCACTCAAGAACAAGGAATGCCTAATTTTGCCACTTTGTCACAGGATTGATTATTCGCAAAGAAATTAGTTCAACAGCTCTCTGATTGCATATTTCCTATAGAAAAATCAGAATCTGACATCTACTTCTTTCCTATCGAAAGAAAGATATTTTCCTGTGCTCAATTGGTTTTCCTACCAAAAACAGAGGTTCCACTTCCACTACATCATTCAGTCTATCGTATTCGATCGTCCTTCTGTCTTATTTATCGATTAAATAAACGCAGCAAATAATCCTCCAACATTTTTAAATATCCCTATATAAATCATATAATATTTAAATGAATTTACTTTAAAACTACAACAAAAATAACTCTATAACTAATTCTGAATACCAGCTGTTTGCATTTCATCTAAATTGCAATTAATAGCAAATAAACAGCTAAAAACCAAAAGTCTGAGTTTACCGCATGACTTCCAAATAAACACATTCTAAACTAAAACCAACCGAACTCTGGCAGTAACCAACAACAAAAACAACAACACCAATAACTAACTTCATCTGCAATTACCGCAGGAAAAGCTACCTCTCTGGTGTCTGTGTATTTATATAACCATCCGAAACTCTCGTCGCCTAACAATGAAATCCACACCATTTGTTGGAATTAACCAATCCACGAATGGAAAACCACATAATACGGATACGCACTGAACGATCCCCCACTCGTTATTGAATTGAAAAAAAAAACAAAACAAAAAATAATGCTCAATTAAATTAAAAATAAATTACCAAATAACTTTTGGCTTAACAGCGAGTAGCAGCGGAAGCAAGAACAATAACAACTAGGATTATATACTAAATGAATATCAGCAACATATTGTGTTGGGGACTAGTGATGTTGATGGTTGAGAAAACATATATATGGGCAATATTGCCAATTTTTTAACACAGCTGAAGCCGAGGTTTACCCCTTTATAACTTGGGAATTATTAAAGGATATGAGAAAAATTGAATAGATTTTGATTTATTAACCCTACGGTCAATAACCAAAAAAGTATACGTATATCAATAACCGTGGTACATTTGTACCCATCCAAAGATAGCTCTGTAACTCATTAAAAAATTGGACTATCGTGAGGTTCTTTTGTTTCTATATGGATCTGATCTAGATGTAGGAACTCAAAATAAAAAATAAAATAATATATATTTAAATCCATGCTTAAATGATAATCTATCTAAAACAATCATAGTGAATTCGTTATAGCTTTCAAATGGGTTAAGCTTTTTTAGTTATTTTATTGGGATCTTATTTAGGTGTTCCTCAACCCCTCTGCAAATCTTTGTGGCCCTAGACAACATGGGGCCATCAGGGCGACTCTTGGAAATCAGAAACTACCTTTGTTTTCCTTTGGTATACATGGATTAAAACAATTACACTG